AATCACGAGCCGCCACTGCCGGATAGGTGGTGGTGGTGGTGGTGGTCAATTAAAAGTCATCGAGTTTCCGACAGGTTGTTATGAAATTACCGACATAGAAACATTTATACGAACGCAAATGAATCTTGAAAATGAAGTTGCTCCTCCGGATGATTATTTTTCTCTAAAACCTAACAATAATACACTGCAATGTGAAATCTTTAGCAAGTATTATAAAATAGTTTTTACAGAACCGAATAATCTTGGACATCTATTGGGATTCTCGAAAAAAGTTCTTAATCCTGGTCAAAAGCATTCTTCTGATTTACCTGTAAACATAATAAAAGTATCAACCATACACTTTGATGCTAACATTACGTCGGGAGCCTTTGACGGAGACACGCCTGCACACACGATCTACGAATTTGCTGTGACAGCCGATCCTGGATACGCTATAGTCGAAACACCTGTAAATTTACTATATCTACCTGTTATACCGAAACAAGAAATAACCAACATCACAGTGTTGGCTTTAGATCAAGACGGTCGTCCTGTAAACTTTCAAGGTGAAACTAGTACTCTTGTGTTGGAGTTGAGAGCGAAGCGCAGATGGGATTAGTGATTATAAGACATAGTGGTGCTTCCAAGGCAACTTCAGTATTACCCCAAGCACCTAAGCGACGACATCTACTACTAACTACATCAAATATCCTGTTTCTACGCTCACTTGGATATCATGTCAACAACAACAAGAATCATGTACAAAAAGAGAAAAACTGAGGAGGCAGCAGCAGCAGCATCACATACTTCTCCGATGTTTGATCTATATCGATCTCCAGCATTCGATGAATCTATTCGCAAGGCTGAGTATAGATCTTATACGCCGTTCATCAAGTCATTTAATTGTAATGATGTTGTGGAATTTAGCATCAATCAAGTAGATTCGTTCTTTGCAATGAACGCTTCCCTTCTATCTATCAAAGGGAAAGTTGAAATAACTGGACGAGGAGGAGCAGGAGATGTATCTTTAGCTCCAAACTTTGGTGCCTTCCTATTTGACTCTTGCACTTACAGTGAATCCGCTAGAGAAGTTGAAACAGTACGTGATCCTGGTATTGTAAGTACTGTCCGAGCTTACGTATGTTACAGTGAGGAAGACTCAAATCATATGGCTATAGCTGGATGGAACTATCCTTCAACACCTATAATGGCGTCAACACATAACAAGTCTTTTAGCTTGCTAATGCCGCTTAAACATATTTTCAACATTTTCAATGATTATCCTATGATTACGTGTGGCAGACAAACTCTCAGATTTGTGAGAGCTAGAAACGATAACGATTGTATCATTATCAAGGAAAAAACTGGAACGACGACGACAGCGAAAATAACTATTGAAAGCATGGAACTGAAAATCAAACATATTTACCCGAGTGATGATGTGAAAGAACAACTTTTGAAAGCTATTCAAACTGATAAGCCGATACTTATACCGTTTAGAAAATGGGATCTGAATGAACTGCCTGCAATTACCGCAGATGCGAGAAGAGAAATATGGTCAGTTAAAACTAGCACCGCAATCGAAAGACCACGTTTCATTATAGTATGTTTCCAAACCGGTAAACGTGACGTCGCAACCTCAGACCCTACCCTGTTTGATCACGTGAATGCTGCTAGTATTCGAGTATCTTTAAATGGTGAATACTATCCCAACGAACGTATGCAATTGGACTTTGCAAACAATCACTTTACTGAAGCTCATTTCAACTATAGCGACTTTCAAACCAGCTATACAACTTCTTCTTCTCCTCTGAAGAGATGTCTTTTAGATTATACCGCTTTTAAAAATCGCGCTTTGTTTGTTATTGACTGTTCCAAACAAGAGGAAACCATGAAATCATCAACTGTTGATGTTAGATTGGATATCGAAGCCGATACTGGCTTTCCAACCAACACCAAGGCCTACTGCATCATTATACATGACTGCTTAATCGAGTACTTCCCCCTCACCGAAGTTATTAAAACCATCTCGTAAGCAACGAAGGACTCTCAGTTCCGCATCAGACATCATGAGGATCGCGTTTGTTGACATTCAAGGCTTTACAGTTGACGGATTATTCGTACCTAAAGAACTATGTATCGAAATTGGTTTCAAGAAAAGTCATTACATCTTTACACCTCCGCAACCTTTTTCTACATTAAATACTAAAGACAAGAAAACTGTCGCTTACTTGGAGAAGAATTTCCATGGGCTTAAATATTCTTCCGGCGACGTTAAATATTCCAAGTTAAATGAAATAATTAAAAATAAGGTGATATATGCGGCTGACTATGTCTACGTTCGTGGAGAACAGAAAGCAAACTTTTTACTCAAGAAATGTCACATTTTTGGTGTTTTTCCCAACATTATTGATGTTTGCAAGTATGATGGTACACCGTGTGCTACTGGAAACTTTGTTGCTGATTCCAATCCATGCCACACCAACGGACAATTTTCCTGTACCCAGAGAAATGTTGAACGTCTACGCCACTGGTTTTCAAATATCATATTACCTATGTAGTTTTTTCTATTTTCAATAAAATATTAAACGTATTATTGTAGTTTTATTGAAAATACCTCTGGTTTGCGAAATAATTGTCAGAATGTCTATACTATTTTCATTTTGAACGGTATCATCCTGTATAATAATAACAGTACATCGTATACAGGTTATGAGACATTCTGACCGACCGACCGACCGACCGACCAGAGGAGCCCACCACGCTATTTAGGTCACGCCTTGCTATATACGATTTAACGATATACCGTCGGTCCATCGATCCGCTATTTTTCGATGCACCCATGTATACACGTTCTGAATGCCCCCCGTAATCCACGCCAACACCAGACAGGTGCGACATCGGCGCCATCTATGCGCGAGATGCCCAACCCATCAATGGCAGCTGTCCAATGACACATAGATTCCGTTTGGTTTGTACAGCGCCATCTATGCGCGAGATGCCCAACCCATCAATGACAGGTGTCCAATGACACATAGATTCCGTTAGGTTTGACAGCGCCATCTAGCGGCGGAATCCCCAACTCATGAATTTCGATTACAGATTCCGTCCAACAACCTGTCAATGGCGCGCGACGCCAGCGCCTCTGGTGGCGGATTTTGGAAGTTTTGAGACCGAATCCCCATAAGACATCTACTAACATGTTTCCTAAATTGCAGAGAGTATCGCGCACCGTACCCGACAGACTTCTTTCTTTGGAGCTGGGGTGTAAGACCGTTTGTAACAACATTACAATAACTGATTATAATAGCTCTTGTTGTGTACTTTAAACCCTGAAAAGCCCATCGACGCACTTCTGCAGGTTTTCACGAAAAAATTTTTTACCTAAATTGCAGAGTGTATCGCGCACTGTACCCGACAGACTTCTTTCTTTGGAGCTGGGGTGTTAGACCGTTTGTAACAACATTACAATAACTGATTATAATAGCTCTTGTTGTGTACTTTAAACCCTGAAAAGCCCATCGACGCACATCTGCAGGTTTTCACGAAAAAAAATTTTTCCTAAATTGCAGAGTGTATCGCGCACCATACCCGACAGACTTCTTTCTTAGGAGCTGGGGTGTAAGATCGTTTGTAACAACATTTTGAAAACTGATTATAATAGCTCTTGTTGTGTACTTTAAACCCTGAAAAGCCCATCGACGCACTTCTGCAGGTTTTCACGAAAAAAAAAAATTTCCTAAATTGCAGAGTGTATCGTGCACCGTACCCGACAGACTTCTTTCTTTGGAGCTGGGGTGTAAGGCCGTTTGTAACAACATTACGATAACTGATTATAATAGTTTTTGTTGTGTACTTTAAACTCTGAAAAGCCCATAGACGCACATCTGCAGGTTTTCACGAAAAAAAAACATTTTTCCTAAATTGCAGAGAGTATCGCGCACCGTACCCGACAGACTTCTTCCTTTGCAGCTGGGGTGTAATACCGTTTGTAACAACATTTTGATAACTGATTATAATAGCTCTTTTTGTGTACTTTAAACCCTGAAAAGCCCATCGACGCACATCTGCAGGTTTTCACGAAAAAACATGTTTCCTAAATTGCAGAGAGTATCGCACACCGTACCCGACGGACTTCTTTCTTTGGAGCTGGGGTGTAGGACCGTTTGTAACAACATTTTGAAAACTGATTATAATAACTCTTGTTGTGTACTTTAAACCCTGAAAAGCCCATCGAGGCACTTCTGCAGGTTTTCACGAAAAATAATTTTTCCTAAATTGCAGAGAGTATCGCGCACTGTACCCGACAGACTTCTTTCTTTGGAGCTGGGGTGTAGGAACGTTTGCAACAACACTTTGGAAACTGATTATAATAGCTCTTGTTGTGTACTTTAAACCCTGAAAAGCCTATCGACGCACTTCTGCAGGTTTTCACGAAAGAAAAAAATTCCTAAATTGCAGAGTGTATCGCGCACCGTGTCCGTCAGACTTCTTTCTTTGGAGCCGGGGTGTAAGATCGTTTGTAACAACATTACAATAACTGATTATAATAGCTCTTGTTGTGTACTTTAAACCCTGAAAATCTCAGCGACGGACACCTGCAGGTTTTCACAAAAAAAAAATACACTACAGGACTGTTTGTTATGAGTCGAAGTGTACAACTGCTTTAGATACGAACCTACAGTTAATGCAATACTGCAATAGCATAAGAGTTGTAGGAACAGATAGAATATATATAATAACCGCGCTCACCTCGTATGTGTGTCACAGGCTTCTATGAGTAACGCTATGGCAGGCAGACAGCATTTATTCGGTCCGCTGTAATCGAGCGGCCGGTAGGATTGTGGAGCCAGATTTTTTGAGCTAACTTCACACGCATAAATTTGACAAGCTTTGCAATATGGAATACCTTAGGCAAAATGCCCGCCGCACCAGGTGATAGTACGATACGAGTCATATTAGCCCCATAACGCAGTGAATGTGTAAAGTTGGCGTACATTGCTTACAACTAGGTAGCTCACTGTTTATTCCAACAAAATTATCAAATTAGCTCAACACACCGAATGGTTTGGCGACCACTGATCTAAGCTTTACCTTATCTCTATACAGTGCAGCTGCCTTAGTGTTATATTTCTGCTGTATAGACATTGTATCTTCCCAGTCTGGTTGTGATTCAAAGAAGACTCTGGCATTTCTATTTCCTCCAACTTTCATCTTCTCTAATTCAATATCCTTCCACTTATCCATAGTTACTGAGCGAACGAAGGAAAGGTGTACCCCCAAGCCTCTGTGTTTTCCTGAGCATTCCAGACAGATCCAGATTCCATATGTTACTGAAACCCACTGTGGGTTGTGTGTCCCACATTCAAAGCATTTCTGAAAGAACGAAGAAGAGTTAATGGTACAGTTATCTTCTACTATATCGTGGTGCTATCCTTACATCATTCTCGTGGTGTGGCTTGAGTTCTTGCAAAACGCGACGAGTTCTGGGACTAGCCATAATGCTTCAGGTGCGCTGCAAATGCAGTACTGTTATTTTTTGTCTCACCTTATTTGCTGAGAGACAATATTCCCCTAGTTTGTAATTAATAAATTTTGGGAAAAGTTGAACAGTTTAGAATGATGTTGAAAATTGATTTTGACGTGGATGCAGAAAATAGGAGGTAAACGGTCACTTGACGGTTGTTTGACAACAGAGTTGACGTTTGTAAGTTGGCAATGGCAACCGACCGATGGAAAAACGTCAGTCTGTTAAAATTGGGATACTGGGAACGGGTGCTGCATCACGTGGGGTCAACTGAGGCCTGAGAAGGCGCAACGCAGAAAATCTGGCAACACAATATACATCCAGTCTATACTCATATAAAATAAAATATTTGTTTTCATTACTATATAGACTAAATTTTGCAAATTAATGTTTATTTAGAAGTATAATGTTATGTTTACATACAGATTTCACAATATTTTTGTTATTGAATTTTTGTTGAGTGTGGTATCATGGGTTTTTGGTAGTTTCCTTATGATTGTATATTGGAATTATTATTCAGAAACCTCCCATGGGAGTTTCTGACTCTTCATTTCACAATATTTCAAATGCACCACTACGTTATCTAGCAGAATAAAGTTATTTTCCCAATTATATTGTTTAATTTATCACTCTTGAACGAACCCAATGACAAATACACGTGAGGTGTTTAAATTGTTTTTCCTAATGCAAAATTGATATTTGTATTAGGAAAACCATTCAAAACCAAATAAAGATGACAGATGTGGTGAGAAAGTAGGCAATGACAATAGCACCGCCGTATGTCATTGTAAAAAACATGGCGGCATATGTCATTCGTCGAATGTTCTGAGTAGGCAGGCGTTTCTTCTGTGTCATATTTGTTCTATCACCACAGAAACATGGCGACATTCGAGCAAGCATTCGTTCAGTGTGAATGTTTTGTGCTTTTGTGGTGGTGACTAGGGATAGTGGTATCGGTTGGAGGGTATCGGTATTAGCATCATTTGATGTACAGGGTGGCCCATAAGTCCTTTGAGCTGGAAAAAAGGAATAAAACCAAACTAGTTACATTATGAAGAATTATTATATTTTGTTATCATCTTTATTGAATGGGAATTATGTTTTAAAAATCACATCGTCTAAATGCAATCCATTACGATCACGGCACTCATATAAACGACGTCTAAAATTGTCGATGACTGCGCGGCAAGTCAACACTGTAATGCTTGCCATTTCTCTTCGGATATTTTCTTTCAGGACATCAACTGATCGCGGAGTGGTGCCGTACACTTTACTCTTGAGGTAGCCCCATAAAAAGAAGTCCATTGGGGTCAAATCTGGACTACGTGGTGGCCAGGAAATGTCTCCTCTTCGAGAAATTACTTTGCTGGGAAAAAGTTGACAGACGACGGGCATAGAAGTGTTGGAGGTGTGGGCAGTTGCTCCGTCCTATTGAAACCAGGTCTGCGTATTATAGCCTGGAAAATTCTGCAACGCTGGTGTCAAAAACTCTTCTATCATTGCTACATACCGCTCCGAAGTAACAGTTAATGCGCGACCTCTGTCGTCCTCAAAAAAAATAAGGGCCTACGATGCCATGCGCTGACATAGCAGCCCAAACTGTAACTTTAGGGCTGTGTAAGGGCTTCTGATGCTTACGCCTTGGATTTTCGGGGCTCCAATAACGGCAATTTTGTTTATTTACATGCCCGTTTAAATGGAAGTGAGCCTCGTCCGAGAACAACACATTATTGAGCGAAGAAAATCGATTCAACATTTCATTCGCAAAGTTTAGTCTCTGAATAGCGTCATTATCTTTTAATTCCTGCACTAACTGAATTTTGTAAGCGTGCAGACGTAAATCTTTCCTTAAAATCCGCTGTAAAGATGTTCTGGGTACCTTTAGTGCACTGGAACGCTTACGAGTAGACTGGGTAGGATTTTGACGAAGAGACTGTGCCACAATGTTGATGTTTTCTTCAATACGAGTTGTCCTTGGTCGACCCCACCGCTGTTTATCTAACGTCGAACCAGTCTCTTCGAACTTAGCAACCCAGTTCTCAATCGTTTGAGCTGTTGGACACTTTGTAAAATTGTGGTATTCTCGATATTTACGCCGCGCAATGGTTGCCGAATCATTATTTTGATAAAACGCGCGCACACAAAAAGCACGATCCGCTCCAGTGAAACACTCCATGGCGACTGAATTCCCAGCCAGACACTGAAGATACTGCCCCCACCTCGCCCGCGCCGCTCACGCTCACCCGTTAAATTTTATTCAAATTTGAAATTTCAAAGGACTTATGGACCACCCTGTATTTTAAAAATGGTATCGATTCTCTTCGATATTTATCTTTGTAAGTATTGATAGGTTTAAGAATCGATACCCGTGGCCTTGATTTGTTTTGTTATTGCGGCCCGGCATCACGCATCGCATCCGGGCCATCCGGGGGCCTACCGTACTCCTCAGTCCGCAGTCGTCAGTCTAATATCTAATGACACTCAATGACCAATGACAGTCTAATGTCTAATCCCGGGTCCCGGGTCTCATTTTAATCAAAGTGACTAGTTCAGGCCGTTCAAGTTTAGTTCATTTTCAATTCCGACTTGTGTTGTTAGTACAGTGTAATCCTATCCTAAGTCCTGCGTATCTTGCGATCGACAGTTTAGCAGTTTATCATCATGGCATCAGTGCTAGGACTAGTTTTATCAATAATTCTAATAAGTAATACCGCCCTTACTATAGATCATATGCCCTGCACTGAGAATATTAATCCTGCATTGATGGCGGAAGCTGGACGAATATTGGAAAATTTAATTCCACCCGGTTACCATTTGGTTGATTACTTCCCTGTAACACAAATAGGGAGAAATCCACATCTCTGGATATGCCATTATCACCGACAAGACAATCTGTATAGACAAGATTGTCAGTATCTGACGGAAGTAAGAGGTGCTTTCCGGCAAGAGTGCCCAGCAGGTTGCGAAATTTCGCAAGTGACAGTATCCCAAAGCCCTAATAGAGAATTCGTTCAGGTGCAGTACTTGGTCAATTGTCGGTGCACAAAAATACCCAGACGTCGAAGAAGCTTATGGTCGTCTACGCCTAGGTCTTCCTACTGCAGCAATTCTTACAATTTTTAATATATGCACGAAAAATCCAGCTGTACTGTTTAATTGTGACGTTGAATCGTCTCATATGTTTGTAATAAATAAACAAATAAATAAATGCTAGAATATCAATCGATGTATGGAGTGGTCATAGTGCAATTTATTTCGATTTAATACAGAAAATTAGGTAACAATACAAACTCGTAGTTTAACATTAAAAAAAATATATGTGTAGAATCATTGAAACCAATCATTTTCTCCAATAGTAGAGAGAAATATCAATTTGTTTAGTCTTTTGCCCAAGAGCCGATTTCTAGTCTCGCTTACTATAAAACTTGCCTTGGAGAAGAGACGCTCTGCCGGAACAGAAGTAGCCACTACTGTAAAGAACATCAAGGCTAATTTATACAACTGAGGGTAAATAGCTTTCATCTTTGTCCATTCTTCTAAAGGGTCACTGGATAAGGGTGCCAACGAATGTTTAAGGTATGATTGTAGTTGTTCTTCAACACCAGAAGGTTTTGGTTGGCGGCTTCTATTTTCAAGTAATGTTTTATGATGGTTCCAAAAATCATTTGCGTCTTTTTCTTCTATTTGTTCAGTATATGTTGCCGGATGCTGATGACGATTTTCTTTTTTCATCATTTCTTTAATGGCTGCAAATGCATTTGCAAGTGCCCTAGGTTCCTTGAAATGTACGTTTTTAAATCGTGGATCCAAAATAGTTGCCATCGCTATAATTGAATTGAATTCTATTTTTCCAAATCTTTTTTTGAGTTCTGCCACTAATTGCTGTTTGGCTTCAAGAACTATGTCGGTCTCTAAATTTATTGTTTCGATATTATTCATTAAACAATTTATCAGTGGAATAACTTTCGATATGGTTACGTAACTTTCACCTGATAGCTCATTTGTTATAAATTCCAGAGGTTTTAATAGCAATATAATTTCTTTTATTTGCACCATCTCTACTGCGTTCACCATTATGGGGGCATTTGATGCAAACAAAAGCAAATCGTTAAGTATGCCCGCTAGTTCTTTAAAACGAATTAACATGTGATACGTAGAGTTCCACCGGGTTTTTACATCTAAAATCAACTTTTTGGGAATTCCTGAAGATTCACCAGCATTTATTTGCAATTTTCTAAGTTCACCGCTCTGGTTGACGCTATTTTTTACCCATTTGACAATTTCCCGTACTTTTTCTATTACCTCGGAAATATGGTGGTGATGTATGTGTTGTTCTTGTTCATCTTTATTTGGCTTTGGCTTTAAAATAATATCAGTTACCAGGTTTATTAAATGAGCAAAGCACGGAATATGCCGATCTTTCCCAAAAGTTTGGTGCATGGCACTTACCGTGTTAGCGCCACTATCCGTTATAAATGCTACCACTTTTTCTTCAGCAATGTTCCATTTATTTAGAAGTTCCTTCATCTGGGCACCAACATAGCTGCCAGTATGGCGCTCATTTAATTCATGCACCTCGATAGATGTTGAACATAGTTTATTATCCATCATATAATGTACAGTTACTCCTAAAAAGCTTCGACAAGTCATCATCTCAGACCAAATGTCGCATGTTATCGAAAAATGAGAAATTCCGGAAAAAACTTTCTTGTAAACTTCGGATATGGCTTCGTATTTCATATCCAGTGCATTTTTAATCGTGGACACATGCGGAATGGTATAAAGAGGCGCCACTTCTTTCATTAATCGGCGAAATCCTTTACCTTCAAGGCTATAAAACGGTCTATGATCTTTGCATATGAAATATAAAATTGCGCTTAATATTTTGGCATTTTGGCTTCCACCCTCTTTATAAGATTGAATGGTTTTAAATGCCCTCTGTATTGGGCCACAAAAAGAGGAAGCTTCGCTTGAAGATATTTCAATAGCTTCTGAATCTAATCTTTGGTTGGAGCTGCTTGACTGAATTTTTAACTCATTGATGGGAGCAGTAGGAGTATCAGTAGCTTCTTTTTCTGGATCATTACTGAAAAAAAAATCTTCTAGACAATTTTAATTATCCCGTTTACAAGTACAATTAAAACTTTTTAGAAGCTTTCGACAATTCCAAAAATGCCATTTCAGCATAGTAGTGTCCTACGTGTTTGTAATTATATAAAGGGGCGTTCAGTGTGATAATGATGACATGCACTATACATAGAGACTTGTAGATACACAATATACAACACAGCACACACAGCCACACATTCCTCTTTTTTATCGGGCAAACTTACCTTGTAATTTTTGACGAACTAGCTTTTGGGGTCCTATTGATATTGCTGTCACCATCTTTTTGAGATGCTTGTGTAATTTTAGATGTTTAGCCATGTTTGTGGTATTGCCAGATGTTTTAATCTGTTTCAAACACGTTTTGCACACAACTAAATTCACACCTTTTTTTGAAAAAAATTTCCAAAGGTTACTTTTTGTTGGAGCCATTTTTTAACAATTTTTATGATGTAACGTATTTTACTCGTTTCGTTATGAACCGGATTTATACCGCTATTAAGTAGAGTAGAATCACCGATCACCGAATCAGTAAACTGTAAACTAAATAAAAATAATCTAAGAAATGCGAATGGTTGGAAGGCAATGAAATTTAAGTCATTCCCATAACATTTTTGTTTGCTTGCAAGAAATCTGAAATCATATCATATATGTCATAACATAATGGCCAGGGTCACCTAATAAATTTGATTCAAAACAAATAAATTTGATTAAAAACAAAGAACAGAGCGGTTGCCGCCGATCGACGATAAGATAACGTCGGCATATTTATCGCCTCGCCTCATGTTTATTTCCTTTCTTATTTCTGCCGATGCGATATTTCCTTTGAAGAATCGATACCCTAAAATATCGCAACGTTAATATCGATGTAAAGTATCGATATTCTCTTACCGATATATCGATACTCTGATGGTATCGTGTATCGATACCACAACCCTAGTGGTAACAGTACAAACACAATCTAAGGTACCCGGCTGTTTTGTTTTGAGATGTCTCGTTAAATTATACGTTGAAATGATGGGATTTGAGAGCAAAAATTGCATTTTGATTCAGAATTCGGTTATTCCTCAAAACCGAACCACATATCCCCTTCTTTTTTCGGAAGATAGTATACATTCGTTACATTGAATTTCATCCAAAAATATTACTCGTAATACTTAAATAAATACAATAACATCGCCAACCCTAACCCTTTTTTTCATTATCAGAAATATGATTTTGTCCAATTGCAATAGAAAATACTTCAGAAGCGTCTTCAACACTTTCCGATATTAAAACATCTCTAAATAAATTGTAAAGGGTGGGACGATCATCTGCACTTATACAGGGTGACTTTGAAGTTGAGTCATTAATTTTCAGATAATGATTGTAGAAGGAAGATAAACCAAAATATGTGTGTAAAAATAAAAAAATAAATAAAAAAAAATTTTACCTTGTTTAAAAAAGTATCGTCCCGACAAGTATTTCAGTGCGGACCTGTATTTGATCGTGTGGTCTTGGAGCAGCATGCCCTGACCTGTGAGGTCTTAAGTCACCTGATTCACGAGCCCTTTGTACTACATTAACAAAGGCACGAGGGGTTGGTTGCACTCGATTGGGAAACCGATTCACATAAATCCGTGATGCATCCAGGAGCATTTTGTAAATACTGCCCCCCCGTAAATAAGAATCATGTCCACAAGTTCAGCATTTTCGTAAACATGTGCCATTTTTGATTTCGTTTGAGCCACGCAACAAACACACATACAAACACAAACACAAACACTAACGCGACTGACGAAAAACATCGTGATAAACGTTTCAAATTCTTTCGCTTTTTTGTTTCCGATGCGAAGAACAGGTCAGGCGGATTATATCCGTTGTCGCCAAACACGAACATATTATTATTGAGACAGGGCGGTACTCAAACTTCCAAAGGGCTATAACTTTGTTACTTTAATTTTACCAGAAAAATGGTAAAGGAAAAAAACATTTCTTTTGATCAGATCTACTCACTGTTAAAATAAATGACTCAACTTCGAAGTCACCCTGTATTATGTTTTTTGTCAAACAACCAGCGCCATACTGATTGCAAAATGTGGAATCTACATAAAAGAGTTTTGCTATTTGGCCAGACATATTTAAGAGCATTTCTCTCAGCGTCACTGTCATCAGTGATAAAAATTTTTGGATAACCCAGACCTCCAAAGCTATTCTCCAGACTTGACTTTAGTAAAGTGAACTCACATCTATAGTCTTCTTCAGATTGGCCTTTTTTGATCAAAATTGCCAGGGGTACAGCGCCAACGGCACACCGAGTTAACATGAATGTTACCGAATGTCCACTAACATCACAGGATGCAGTACTGTCTACAAAAGCTATGTCTTTTGCAAAGGGTAATTGGTGTGCTCGTTTTATCAGTTTAATTAGTAGTTGCAATCAGTACACAGTAGGGTTCCTCTTGGTATTCAAGGAGTATGCCATTGTTTAAGTGGATTTCTGTAAAAAATTGGGTATAAATTATGAGAGTTATGTTCATGACGTAAATACCTACCTCAATGGAACCTGGTCCAAATCGTGGTCCTAAATTTGAAATTCACCACTGATTGAACCAGTGCTGTATTGTACGGTATCTCGGATTTATTCTTGCATTTGCTAATTTCCATACCGTACTGCAATTCCAGCTTTGATTCGTGAAAGTTTACGGACTCCTTAATTCCCATCCCATCACTCAAATATGACTCAAAACACGATCTAAGAGTATCCCTAGGACTATGAAACGAGGCTGCCTCTGCAGTTGTCAAAGTATGACTGTGTTCACCTTTCATTATAATTATCGCCGAATACCCATCCTTAAAAACGGACAATGTTACAATTTTTATTAACATTATAAATTATATACCTTTACACTTTTGTCTTTTTCACCGTATCACTAGTTGTCAACCTTGTCGTAATTGATAACTCGGCCTGGCACCCTGTATTTTTTTATTTACCTTGCTTGTTTTCCTCTTTTTTTACTCTTTTATGACTGCTGTCATGACAGACAAAAGTTTTCCTGAAAAAGTCGTAAGTCAATTATTTTGTAATGTATCAGATAGTATAACTTTCCCTGATATAAAATAAAATAAAAATTTAGGTTTTAAGGTGTGTAAAATAAACAGATTATTTTTTCCTTAAATTTTAAATGAGCAATCTATAAACTAAAAAAAATTTGGTTGCAATTTTCAGACTCCCTACTTTTCCACCTCCAGGATTAATTTTTTCTATAAACTTTTATTAGAAGAACCCTTGAAGTACAAAATATGAACTAAAATTGGATTAACTTCAGGTTTTAGGGATGATATATTGTCGTTATTTCGGGTCACTCATGAAGGCAACCTCAATACAAGTGGCAAGGAAGTTGTATTTTTAGATGCTTAACCAAGCAACAAATATTAGAGTTACAAAAAAGGCAGTGGCGTACATTTGTTTGACAACAATATTCGCTAAGGTGCCCCCGGAACGTCACTGGACCTAATAATTTTCATCTATTTAGGGCTAAATGAGCATCTTAATACAAAAAATAACACTGTCAAATTTTAACAGAATCGAGTAAATGCTTTTTGAGGTATTAATAAAACAATAATTAATTTTTTTCATATTTTTAACAAGGAATCACCCTCTGGAATATCTCTCTCTATTTTTTGAATACCCTATATTTCCTGATAAGCTTGACTTATCGGGTAAGACGTCAGTGAAACATGAAGAATAATTAAGTTCAAGATTATGTAAAAAATACCTCTTCATCATTTCAATTGATGTTCGTTCTGCATGTATCAGCCTGCAATCATCTTCAAGGGCGTGAAGAAATATAAATTTTGGCGTCGTTATGTTAGTTTCCCAAATTAATATGTCCCTCAATTTCTTCAAACGTATGGAAATCGTGAACGTTTTTAGAAGCTTTTGCTTGGAATCAGGCTGCAAATATTTCGTAAAACTTCATCAATATATTGACAGTAGATCATACTACTATTATCCACACATTTATCTGCAAACAGAACTCACATAAGTACATTTAAACAACATAACATATTTTGAAACATCAAGAAGGTTGAATCTGTATTTCATGGAAAATAGCATAAATTTAAGTTCAGTTTTGAGTGCAAAGCGTTTGGCCTTCTTAGGGTAAGTTTCGAAAATATATCTCTTGGGAACGTTTCCAAGATCCTCAACAGTTTTATATATGCTTCAGGGGTTCGCGAAGTTCGAAACCAACCTTCTTGATGCCGTACTCTCCAATGCTTACCCTGCAAAAAATTTGATGTTCGTTTGATTGCTGTCTCATATATTGATGTATAAATCGGGGACTTTCATCATTCTTAACATGCTTTTATTGTTCCTCTTCACGCTACTCGTGTGTGCCCATGAAACATTCATCGAGCTATCCAGGCAGAACATTTTTTGTGACAGCTGCCATTATCCTCAATATTCATTATATCACGTTTAACATGCTCGGGGGTGTCTATAACCTGTACCATTCCTGAAATTAGGAGTGTCCCCCTCCAAAGCTCTATAAAAATATTTGGGCTATTATTCTGAAAGAGAACCTGAAAGTTTCAGGATAGCAATTCTGTAAAATACGTAAAAATAAGAAATGTGCAATCACATCTTAGCTAAAAATAGATATGTTCATAAAATATGCACCTAAAAAAAAGCAAATACCAAATGTCAGTTGAAATTGAAATTATAATGACTACATCATTATCATCAATATTTATCATAGTTCATCACACTTCCTGAAATACGCAATATTCTCACTCTCTCCTAAAAGCTGAAACAAACTAAGAATAACACTTGCGTTACGATTTTAAAGCATAAATAATCATAAACAACATATCCATGAAATACCTAAGAATAAGAACCACTTTACTTGTAAATATGTTTTTTCAATAAATAAAGGTGTTTTATCCAGCTTTTGATAGTAAAATAGAAATAGTGAGTACTAAGTATTACCAGTACTACTACTACTACTACACTGCTACTACTACCTTCTTATCTAGTTACTTATCATCTACGGATACACTTATGAAACCTGAACTTTTCACGTATCTCATCCCTCAGAAACACTGGACGATTTTACGTCAGACATTTATTTTCCAAGTCTCTCCGAAAATGATTAACCACATGTCTCGCGTCACATTTCTTCACAAAAAAGTAATAATTGTTTTTAATACAGTAGCTGGAGTGTATCGTGTATCTTGTGATCATACTTGCATGTACTTACATTAACACCATATTAATACCTAGCGATGATCAATGGACCCAGAGGAATTCCTTCCTTCACTTTTTCCTCTTCTTGGCGGACTTTTGCACTGTGCAATCGTTGAAGTTTATTACAGCTTTGCTAGTTGAAGGCAATAACCAAGAAAAATGTACGAGAAAACCTAAAACATAGAAGTCCTGTATAAAATATAAAAACATATCGCTGATGATTAGCAAGGGCATGATGGAGAGTTGACTGTGTCCCTCGTTGTGGCACCACACCGCAGAAAGTCCAACCAAAAAGGGGCACCATGTCTCGGCGAAGAAAATCCTAAATACACTTTCATTTCTTCAAAAAGAAAAGTTCCACTCAGAGAATTATAGAGTGATGTATAATATTGCCAGAATATTTGAAAATAAAGATCTGGGTTTTTGAGCTTGCTTCCAATAATAAACAAAGTCCTATAGGTCTTTGGCAAAGAACTCCCTTTCTTTAGTTCGCACTTTTGCTGCTAAGTAGTAGATGCAAGCCCAGATACATCATGAATATAGTGCAATGGATGGCAAATCTTCAAAATTCACCCTCTTAAAAATATCGATTGTATGGAGGTATTTGTTTCTTACAAAAAATTGTAAACAACAATATATACGAGAGATAGAATATAAACACGTAATACAATCGGTATTTACGTGCATTAATAAACTTTCTTGCATATTCTACATGATAGTGTGCTACTTATTATGTATTTACATTTACTATAGACGAGGCGAAAAAATTCGTGGGATAAATTTTCCATCTCGATTTTTGAATGAATCATGAGGTCGCCCGGAGGTAACTCGCTGCAAAGTGTAAACAATTACAAACTACAAATACATCTTTTTGGCCCGTACAAAGTGTTTCTAGATTCTTTCAATCATTGTGAATAAAAATAGTTTCACTCTAAAAGGGTCGTTTTCGAGTTATAAGCGATTGAATATCTGAAAAACCCTAAAAATATTCTCTCATGTTACTCAATTTAACTTCAAACCTTCTCCTACTTGGCGTATTTTTGAAATGCTGCTACTTCATTGTTAATAATAATAACGCGCATTGGAATACGCACCTCGCGCTGCTAACAATTAAGTAATAATACTTTAAGATATACTAATCTTAAAATACACCTCGGAGTTTTGAACGAAAATGTGCAAAATTTAACTTAGACGCATGGCAACTCGACGATGATTTTAACCCGCGTTTTAAAGCATTGAACATCGATATTTTTAAGGTTTCTCAGAACTTTAATCGTTTCTAACATGAAAGAGTTTAACTTTAGAGAAAAATTGCTAATCACTTTTGACCACAACAAAATTTATTTATTTCCAACAGTTGAAACCCAATTACAAGAAATGCTGAAAAAATAACAATTAAAGAGACATGGTTCTTGGACTTAAATCTATAGTATCACACATTCTAAATAAGATTGGATGATCCATAGCAGTTAATAATCGATGCACAACTGTCACTGTAAATATCACACGATTCAGTAACACTGTTCATGACGCAGCACATGAGATTAATTGACGATTTAGTCATAACATTTGTACGGCCAGCTTGACAATAGAATGACGTTTGTTGTCGACTCCCTAGCCTTGGAACGCGGAAACATATTTTTTCAAGTAAATTTTGACAGTCAATTGTATTGTGAATGAAGCCATACAAAAACGACAAAGCAAATATGTTTCGTCTTGTTGACAGTGAATCCAAACTGAAAAACTCTAATAGGGCACTATGGTCACAAAATAAGTCAACCTAGACTTTACGAGCTCAAAGCTAACGCAGAAGTAGATGACCGTGCTTCACTCACCTAGTCTGCTCTAAAGACATTCAGCTCAGGAAGGTCAGAAAAATGCTCAATATCCAACGTGAAAATACTCCACTCGCCTTTTTTGAACAACCACAACACATTTTCATACACAATTACCACAAAATCACTCACACCACCATCGCTACACGACGACACTGCGGAAAATCGCGGACAAAGACTTCCCGGCACACGACCAGTGGAACAGAAACAGAGCCTTGCATGGAGGGCTCGGCACAACACGCTCCCCAAACGCCAACCGACAACTGAACGAACAGCAGACGCACGTTAGCCCGCAGCGTGTAGTACGCCGCTACCGCTATTCTTTCTGCGTCGTAATTGGTTGGAATTTAGTCAGGCGTTTTTCCACCACCCAATCTTCTTTGGGCATTTACGTAAACATTAGAACATCAGAAAAAACGTATCACAAGTTTATCACAAAAAAAAGAAACAAATGAATAGATCATCCTACCTGAAAGCAACTTAAAATAAACGCATAAATTGTCCACGATTTTCCCAACAGATCATTTTAGACGAAACATTAAACTTTTTATTATTTTCTATATTCCTGATATTACAATAAGGAATCAAATTGTAAAATTTAGGTGCAAGATATAATTATGGGACACATAATTTGTATTTAATTTCTTAATAAACTACATATACTGCAAGGATATATTTATAAGATTTTAATATTGTTAATTTCTTGCATAGTGGGATATAACCCGTAACCACAGAGGTGACATTCCACTCACACTCTACCAGACGTGACGTCTCTCATACGGCAATGTTATTTTATCAAAAATTGGCATTGTATATTTTTTAATCACTTTATTCAGAAATTGGTTATTATTTTAGGTCAACTGAGCACAAAATAAAAGTATTCAAATGGATAAATACTAAAACGTTTGTTTGCAGGAAAATAGTTTCTGATTATTGAAGCAACAATTTTGGATTTTGGCACATAATATATTTTGCCTCAAAATATTCCTAACATACTAAAAAACGGTGTTTATTTAATTTGATTTATAAAATATGAATATATCTCATTCAGAAAATCCTAAAGGTAACATAAACAAATTTAGCATAAAAAAATTGCAAGGCATAGATTTACTTATTTTTTATACAGCACAATCTCTGCAAATTTTTCTTGTACATTCCAAACACACTGGCCGTTTGCACATATTACAAAAATAGGCCGTTCTTCTTTTTTTGTTAGAGAGACAAATTCTGCAGGTTTTTCTCACGGCTAATTTCTCCTCTTCACCAACTTCAATTTCTTCTTTTGTCTGGAGGATGCGCCCTATGTTCATGCGTACTTCTCGAGAAATACGTGGGTTGCCGAAACGACGTTTTAGCTCCGGCGTTATCAACTGCATTGCCAATTGTTTTATGAAGTTATATCGCGAAATCTCCATCTTATCTAGAAAAGATGTTTGGAGGATATAGGCATTCACTGATGCAATATCAAACATCCTATAAAATATGGCCATAGGCCAGCGACGAGTCCTCCTGCTACATGAGTAAACGGTACATTTTTCATCGAGTGCGTCAACTCCTCCTTTTGTCAAATTGTAGTGGGCTATTATTTCTGGTTTCCCTGTTTCAGGATCCGTAGACTCATTATGGTGCATCGATGAAATCAGCACCACAGCTGTATTCTTTTTTTGAGTATAAGACAGTAACGTCATATCTTTTGTGTAGCCATATATGGATGATCCGACCTGTCTACTTTTTTGAGGAAGAAATAGGACTGGTATCTCCTTCTTGTTTTTTTTTCAGTGTCCCTACGTAGGTCAATGCCTTTGTTTTTAGTAAAGTGACTGCTTCTATTGAGGAGAACCAGTTATCAGCCGTTATATTTCTATTTGTACCATATAACAGCTTTGCGAGGCGGATAATTGCTTGGGTTGGTTTGGAATTTTTTTTTTCATCAGATAGTAGAGAGTAGCCATCACTGTCTTTACCAGTATACACATACGCATTGAAAAGATATCCCGTTCTGGCATCAGTTAATGCCATGATTTTTAATCAATATTTGCATGGCTTGTTTGGCATGTACATCTTGAATTTACAGCGCCCTCGGAAGGACACCAACATTTCATCAATACATGCACCAGTACCAATTGTATATACAGATTGGCAATTTTTGATGAAAATATTAAAATTTTCCGAAATCGCAGCTAGTGGATCTGTTTGTTTTCGTCCAGCACGGGTTTTCCTATCATCAAACCGAAAACAAGCAAGAATCATTGCAAACCTATTTGAATTTGTTACGCAACGAAAAATGTTCCTACCAGAACCATCTGTGGCAAATATAGATCTAATGTCTTCATTATTGGATTTGAAAATAGAAGTCATCAGAAGAGTTCCTAGGAAGCTTTGCAATTCTATAATATCCATATCGCGAAGATCGCTGGTATCTTTCCTAAATTTTGTACGAAACTGTGCTAAACTTGCGTTTGTCCACTGCAAGATAATTTCTAAAATGTCAGATGAATTTGATACATCCGATTCACGTGTCAATGCCCTCATTATAATTTATATCAATTTCACTTTCACTATCATGCTCGCTCAAAAGCTCAAAATGAAATCGCTTTCAGCCACGTCATCGTCCTCATCAGCAGAATTGCAGGAATCAACCTCCTCAAACCATTTTAAAACAGTTTCCTCGAAATTTGGGTCCGTATACTTCACTCGTTTTGAAGGACCAGGTAAATTTTTGTCTTCCATACCAAAAACCTAACAAAATAATCATAAATTATAAATATTCATCTTGTAAACAAAATTCCTCTTACACAGATCTGACGTCTTACAGACATCCGCCAACATAAAATCACTCGCAAAAAATGTAACACTGTATCTATCAACCGCAAACGAACACAGTCGGTTTAGCACTGAAATCCACGAAGGTACATAGCTACATAGCGTCTCATCCGCGTAGATAGGCGGAGGGGGAAGTACCCAAACAATTGAAAAGTTCAGGTGTCTCAGAGACGGGTCGTCAGTAGTTACGGGATAATCTAGTTTTTTTAGAGTAATCATTACAATATGGCTCTGCACCACTTTTAGCTGTCCAAGATTTGAACCGTACATCTCACCCCACACAAATACGCCATGTACCAAAAGGGGCACCACAAGTGCTTTGAAAATCATCAAAATCTATTTTTTTTTTCTCAAGTACAGCACATGCTGGTCCCACTGTCAGTGTTGCCGCTTGGTAGACAAGCGCGCATACCCTACTCTGTATAATGGCTTGCCTAGCATTACGCGGACTATCTCGACAGACATCAACGGGAAAAAATGCCGACAATCAGTTCTCACGTTCTATGTATTGACATGACGCCCGTATTTGTATTTACCCATGAGCATTAGATGAAATGAACGCGACGTCTCCCGTTTTTATGACTTTTGAAACTTAAAAATCAAAAGATCGTTTTCAGTTATTTTCGATATTTAACCGGTTTCAATTCAATAACTATAATATGTCGGATTCCGAATCAAGTTGCTCTGGAAGAGAGAAGCACAATAAAAGATGGGATACTCTCGAATACAGAAAACAAAAAAAAGGAGCGGAATCTTTGAAGAAAGCCAAACATAGACAGCAAGCTTATAGGAAAGAGTGTGAGACAGAAGAGCCCCCCCCCCTCGAGACGGAAATTTTCCTTCATCATGAATCTTGAGAGAACCTAAGGCACGGTGTAGGATAAGTGGATGAAATAATGGTGAAAATACCTGCTAAAAATCCAGTTTTTTGGGAAAAAATTCTCAAAAAAATCCTCCTTCATCCACACATTTTTTGTGTTAAAATAATCTATCAGACTACCCTATATAAGTTTCAAGTGAAAAAACAGTGAAATCAGAAGTTCTACCAGACACAACAGTACGCTTCTTGCAAGAATTCCTATTTCCAGTTCGGAAATCTGCTTGTATATACAAAAATAAAGTATTCCATCGTTTTCCAAAAGATGAAAAAACTGTTGCTGCATGGAAGGCAGCTTGTAAGATATCTCCCACTCGTAAAGTTTCCAATTATTATGTTTGTGAGGATGCTTTTTCAATGTTTGATCGTAGTAATCCGCAAGATCCTTCACGTCACAGATATCCTGCCATACCAGTGTCCCCCAATGCCGTTTTAAATTCAAATAATAGTCATCCTACTGAACCAGGTCCCAGTTCAGTATCTAAAGTTTTATTCAATGACCCTCCTTCTGGAGAGGCTACCACAAATCCAACCCCTTCTGAGCAAAATGAAAATTCCAGTGTTATTCTGGAAGATCAAAACATTGAAATCAGTGGAAGTGGTTCTAGAACAGAATCTAATTATTCAGATAAATATTCTTTTTTGTTAGAGAAGGGCTCTGGCATATTAACAAAATCTGGTACATTAGAGAAGGAATTGAGCCCTAAGAAATCAATTATGTATAAAGTCCACTGGAATGTTTGCTCAAGGCTATCCAAATTAAAATCAGTTTTGAAAAATGAAACAGCCCATTTGTATTCATTGAAAAGTTTATATAAGGATGGTTATTTTCAATATATTGAAGAACATCTCAATGAAGTTACCAAAATTTTTATTAATTCACAGTTGAGAAATGTCAATAAACATCCAGTTGCTTACCGCTGGACAATTGGAGATAAAACTTTTGCACTTGCTCTGTACAAACGAAGTCCACGGTTGTACAGATACCTCAGGGTCTCTTTTAAGTTACCATCTGTGAGATCATTAAAATCAATTTTATCATCAATTTCTTTCGAATGTGGCATAATTGGACCTGTTTTAGAACATTTAAAAACTAGAGTTGAAAAGATGGGTGAGCTAAACCGCTGTTGTACTATAATCTTTGATGAAATGTTTCTTAGTTCTAGCCTTCATTATGAAGTGAAAGAACAGAAGATATGTGGATTTGAGGATTTGGGTACACTTGCACGGCAGCAAAGAAAAAGCAAAACATGGTCTTGTGTTTATGGTAAGAGGGATACAGAAAAACTATAGAATTCCTGTAGCTTATCTTTTCACTAAAGATACAATAAAGTCAAACTGCCTCAAGGATATTATAGTAATCATTATAAAGCATGATGAGGCAAAGCGAATGAATTATGCAAGCGAAGATTTAATTAACCTGACTGGTCTTCTGGATGACAAGCTGTATGCATTTTTAAAACAGTATGGTACAGAAGACCAACTGGAAGTTAAATTTAAACAGAAGTATTCCTGCATCCTTCAAAATTATAGCTTTCGTCAGCAGCATGATGTGGCAAAAGGTATAATTGAAAAAACTGCTCGGTTGGGAATTAACAAATACTTAAAGAGAAATTCTTTGAAAAGGAGTGGTGAGACCACTAAAGGTCATATTTCAACAAATAAGAAATTCAAGACAGCTAAAGTCAGGTAATGTTTTTATGTAGTCCAGCACTCTTCATTCATTGAATTTTCTATTTACTTTAATTAACCAAATACTACTGTGATATTATACCTAAACAATATTTTATTTTGTTCCATTGTTGCAACATCCTAGGGAGGGAGCAGTAGGACGAAGAATAATTATTTATTTTGTTACTTCCTGTAATGTTAAAGTCATCAGGAGCTTTTGGTTTTAAGTATGAGGAATGTCTTGTTTATTTTTAACTTTGATTCTTTATTTGAAGAAAATTTTCCTCATTTTTACAATGTAACCCTGTGTGCAAATTTATATATAATATAAATTATATTTTTACTTCAGTTATTTATTTAACTACAGAGATTTATTTTTTGTTGTTTTAGTATGAATATTTATGTTTCAGTGATAAATGTACCTCATGATGGATTAACAATAGGTAGTGCTTGCATCATCTTGCTTAACACTTCCTTTGATTACTGAGGGTCCCTTTTTATCGTTTTTATGCTTCTAATGTATGATTTGTAATTTTTTTTTAAACATCACTGTTTTACTTAATAATATAGAGAAAGCTCCGGATGTCTAAAAATACCTTTATATATTGTCAGTGTACTGTGATGATAAATTATTACTTATTATTATTCATATATTTAACTATTTAATAAATATTTTATTAATTACGCATTTACTTTTTATTATCCCAAAATTGGTAGCCAGCAAAACTGCTGAATCAGGTATTTCCTTTATTGAGGATATTTTATGCATCTATGCTCATAAAATATTTCTTCAATATGGGAAATCAGCAGATTTTAAATTGTAAACAAACTGAATTCTCGGCACATTCCTAGTCTCCCGGCGCATTCTTTGAATTCATTCGATAGTTCCTCCAGATCTCCAGGCAAGTAGGCGGCGCAACCATCTGACAAAACGTCAACGGTGTTGCCATTGTTTATCGTGCAACTCCCACTTCTTTAGTCTTATGTGTTTTGTGCTTCCCTCTAATCATAGTGTTTGTGGGTCTGTGCCCAGATGATTCGTTTTTGTTCCGTGGATGCTTTTTGACATTTTGTCAAATCATGTTATCATGCTAGGTTAGAAATTGTTGGTTATATTTCAGCCAGCAAAATGGCTAGTTTTCAATCAATAATGAAGAAGTACCCAAGTCTCTTAGTAATACTCCTCAATTTTCAAACATTATTAGCATTATATGAGGACCAAGTAGGAAAGTTTGACTGGAAGAGGTCATTTATTGGGAAAGTAAAGTATGCCCACTTTGACGCCAGTAGAATCATTGTCGGTACAGAAGAAAACATTATAGCAAGTTTGAACATGAAAAATGGAAATATTCTATGGAGGCAGCTGATGGAGAACCCAAAGGAACAGCAGCTGATGCTGTTACATTCAGACAGAGATCTTCTAAGTGTCTCAGGAACCATGAACAACTGGTTTGTACGAACCTGGGATCATCAAACAGGGACATTGCTATCAGAATGGACGATATTTTCTGATAAGAATATACCTTCTGTGTTTACTGTGGAAAAGGGAACACTTCTTCATATTTTTCCAACTCAAAATTCTCATTTAGATGTAGTAACATATAATTTAGATGGGAATAATCAAAAGAACACCATCAAAATACCTGCTCCTTGGATCACAGATATTTCTAATTGTGTGCTATCCAAAAGTTACTATATATGTATATCAAAAAATGATATATCTGGACAATTGTACTATGTAAACATCCTTTCAGAAAAACCTAAGGTTTATATCAAAACTCTGCATAGTGTTTTAGGTGATACACCAGACTTGATAGAAATATTACCATTTGAAGACATTTTTCCAGCATTCCTTCTCTCTTCAAATGGCCAAGCCAAAGTAATACATGTTGATGAAGATGTAGTTAATACTAAGATTTTCAAAGTGATGCCAAATGCTGTTTCAAATCATAATGGTGAGAAACCATTTATATATCAGTTAGAACCAGCTTCAAATCCTGATAAACTAGTTCAAATTCGTGTGAAAGATTATGCTACTTGTCAAGATGAGATGGCTACAGAGTTAGAGTATCCTGTAGGATTAGGGGCCCCTATAATTATTGCTACTGCCACAAAAAATACTTTAACAGATGTACTACTCAGTACAACAGACAATGCTTTTATGTTGGTTAGATTATCTGATGGAAAAATTATGTGGACCAGAGAGGAAGCTTTGAGTAATATCATCGCTGTTGAGTTCTTTGAGTTACCAGTCTCAGAATTGGATGCATCAATAGAAAATGAATTTAAAGCATCTTCAAATAGTATATTAAGTATGCTATCTCATAGATTGAATACACAGGCAAAACAGCTATCAACATTGATTTTTGGAGAACATCCAATGTCATCAAGTGGACTTGTCAGGGATGCCTTCGGTTTGCATAAGCTGATTGTAGTTGCAACTAGTGTTGGAAAGTTATTTGCTATTGACACATTGTCTGGCTCAATTGTTTGGAGCTATAGACTACCAAATGTTAAGCCATTTAGTATTTTGGGTGAGGATAAAATATTGCTATTTGCCCAAAGAACAGCAAGATATGCTCCATTGCCTGCACAATGTATCCTTATAGCAAATGATAAATACTCGGGTAATGGAGTAATATTCCAGTTTGATCCTATTACTGGTTACTCACAAAAAGGTATAGAAAAACTTAATTATCAAATTGCACAAGCTATACATTTACCTTATGAAGACGATCAACATTTAAAACCAGTTTTAATGATATCTTCAACAAATGAAGTTTACTTATATCCGAGTTGTGCAATGGGTGAGGTATACAAATATACTTCTAAATTATACACTTATTTAGTTGATAATACAGGATCATTCAAAGGATATAGTTTCATTCATAGTACTAAAGATAAACTCAAAATGACTCCCTCTTGGGAACTACAACTACAACCTGCAAAGTTGGTAGCAGTTAAAACTAAACATCCAAATGAAAGGGTACATTCTCAAGGTAGAGTGTTACCAGATAGATCCGTTTATTATAAATATGTAAACCCAAACCTCATAGCAGTGGCAACGGTTAGTGATGATCCAGTTCATAAACATGTTTTAAGTGTCTACCTGATAGATGGGGTGACTGGTCTCATTTTATATGCCACCTCACATAAGAGATCGAGGGGTCCCATACATCTAGTGCACTCAGAAAACTGGATTGTATACTCTTATTTCAATGAGAGATTCAGAAGAACTGAATTTGCTGCAGCTGAATTATATGAAGGCCATGTTCAAAGCAACAGTTCAGTATTCAGCTCATTTGCAGTAAGTCTATTACCTCATGTTCAGACACAATCATATATTTTGCCAGCAACACCCCTAAGTGTAACTGTTACATTGACAGAAAGGGGAATAACAAATAAATTTCTATTGGCAGGGCTTAGTGGTGGGGGTGTCATTGAAATTCCTTGGTTGCTACTTCAGCCTAGATTGAATGACATACCTTGTAGCCCAGAAGAGAGTTGCATCCCTTATATGCCAGAAATTCCACTGCCTTCTGAAGCTGTGATCAACTATAACCAAACAATTGGTAGAATAGACGGTATCGAAGTAGCACCTGCACGTTTGGAAAGTACAAGTCACATACTTGTTCATGGTATTGACTTATTTTATACAAAAGTTGCCCCATCAAAGACGTTTGACATGCTTAAAGAAGACTTTGATCATATGATGATTATATTGGTATTGACAGGACTTGTAATATCATCATACCTTACAAAATATCTTGCTTCAAAGAAAGCTTTGAAGCAAATGTGGAAATAATGATGTCTGGCTGATTTAGGGTAATTGAATGTTATTTGTTATTTTCATATAATTTTTACAGGTTGTTTTTGATGGTCAAATTAGCGAATGTTCTTTTACTATCTGTGCATTTAATGCAGCGGATTTTGTACATTATACTTATATATGCATCTTTCTTGATGCAAAATATATGAAATGATATAACCATATTTGTAAATTCATTTTGAAAATAAGTCAACAAGAATATCAACAATATGATTTTTACTGCTGTTCGCTGTAGTACTTTTGTCATTGTACAAATTAAATTCCTCAAGTGGCCACTATTCAAATAATGAATAATTTCTCCTTCAATAGACTGTAGAGGCTTTTCAAAACCAAATCTCTGGATGGAATATTGTTTGGCATCACTTGTTACAAGAGTAGTAGTAGCTTTACCAACCAAGCACTTTCAACTTGTAAACACCAGCTTATTCTAACGCATTAATAAGTATAAAAAAACGATTCATTACTATTGCCGCATATTAAAATTATTCTAGAATTTGTATATATATATATATCAATAGCTAAGTGTGATACAGATGTTTTTTCGTGAATTAAGCCATTCAATGAAATATTTCTTTTCATCTCTATAAGAAGAGTGTTATTCAGTATGTAATTCCTTGAAAGTATTTTTCAGCATAGCTTTGCAGTTATAATTCAGCTGGCGGGATAAAATCAGTTCATCCCAATGAGTACAATATCATAAATTGCTCACAGTTTCATGTTATCTTTTATTTAATAGCATCAGTCTTGATATATTTATTTTTGCATAATTCATTAAGATCCTAAATGTTTTCGCATATGAATAATGTTTTTTTTTTGTACCTTTCACTATCTAAATGACGACAATTATCTATCTAGCAAAAAAAATAACGACGAAATCATGCCCAAAATTCATGTTTCTAGAGGGACCTGTTAGCCCATCTGTTTAAAATAATATTAACCAGATTTCAAGGACTCGTCTATGCTACTAGATTTTCATACCTTTTATTTAAATTGGCATATTTGGAATTTTGAAATGTGCTGAAAATATAAAGATTAATGTTGCACTTCTCACACTGACTGGCCTATTTTATGTGTAAATGTACAGTTGGTAGCAAAAATGATTTTTCGCAACGGTCTCATCATGTTTGGAGAATTTAGATAATTGGGAACTGTTCAGCTTGGTTCTTTGAATATGGGAATAACGTCGCACGATTATTTTTGTTTCCATCTGTACATTAATAAGGCACATTTTTGTAAATATAGCATAATTGTGATAAGTGATTACTGTAGCTAATTACCGATTCTTGGGGCGTGTAAGATCACTAAAGTAATAAAGATTAAATGGAATGTGTCAGTAACCTTGTATCCTTCTTACATTATACACCAGTACAGTATGTAAGAATTTGTTAAGAGGTAGTATTATTGTTCCTTATGTCATAGAGAATTATACCAAATGTAGACGCAGTTTGCAAGATACGTGGTATTGTAGATAAACAACCCATTTTTCACTTGTAAAGCTAAATATATACTTAGTCATATTAGGGTAATAAGTATAAATTATTTATGAAACATTTTGTAATGTTCTAGTGAAAGATTTGTACACGTCTTGTTGATATAATGTACAAATAAAAGTGGTGATCAGTTGACTTTAATTTTTATTATACATCAGTCTAATCTAGTTCTTCGATTTATTCTTATATTTCCGTTATTGCGATTATACCATGGTCTAAAATCAGATCAGGATATTTTTAATCGCTAATTTTTAACCAAATTTTTTCAAAGAAAAGTGGAAACGAAGTCGAGCTCTTGACACTGATTACGGTCGCGGTCAAAGACAGCATCAAAAACTGGCATGAATGCGATGAACCTTCAGGTTCGGATCTGATGGACACATTAGGTTCAACATCAAAATACCGGCTCTCATAGCAACTAAGTATAGAAACCCCAGAGAAACTTGCCGACTTTTTCAAATTCGAGTTACATCTGATAACTAGATATCACAACTAACCAGCGAAGGTGACATTCAAGTATATTTTAAAAATATTGTAAGAACTGGATATCTCAAGTTATGAGGTTATTTATTATTGACTTTGGAGCTTTTAATGCAACAACTAGGTAACTTAAAATATCAAACTATAGAAAGAAAAAAGATAGGAATGTCGAATTTAACTACTTTCTGCAACTTGGTTTAGATACTTTCTAGTCATTTTAGGAGATATCTAGTCATAGCGTTTAATAGAGAACAAAACGTGGCCGGAAATTGTGGATATCTCAAAATAACCAAAAATCAAGTTATCTAGTTTTAGCATTAAGGGGGCGATATTATAGTACACGGTGAGGTTCAAATTTGGCTGACGTCGTAATGTGTACGAGAGAAGCGTCCAATATGTAAGAAAGAGTGCGACGTTGATGGCGTCCGTGGCCTAGTCACTCGGGTTGCTAGGGAACGAGGTGCTTCTATCACTTTACACACGTATGGCACGCTTATCTCGTACACATTACGATCAGTGGTATTTGGTTTTCACTGTATACGTAAATAACTATGGACATTTCGTTCAGTCAGGGGAATCGTTCTTCCCAAACTAGTTCATTTGAGATGTGTTCATTCAACCTAGCTCATCTCTAACAGTTGAATCACGAAGTCAAGAGATAGAAGCACTGGCGCTCCCACGGGGGGGGGGGGGTAAAGGGGGTAATAACCCCCCCAGACGACTCGAGCAGTATTTGAAAAGGGGGTATAAAGTAAACGTCTTATAAAAAATCTGTAACTTTAAGAAAGGATAGCGGCAACACTGCCAACCCGCTCAGTGCACATGCGACTAGCGACTACTCTCCCACCAACAGCAACGGTGTGCGCTTCTTCCTGTTGGATCAGGTATAGTCTAATCTTTTATCGTCTAGTCTAAAGTCTAATTTCTGTACCAGTCCGGCTGAGAAGTGAACAAGCGGAGTTTTGTTGATCTGGTTGGTATTAACGCTATTTTTTATGTTCTATTGATTTTTTATTTTCCACATATGAGCCAGAAAATGAACTTTTGTTTGTTTTCAATTTTTATAATATGAAAGAATCGTGTCTAAAAAAAATGAGTACATAAATCCACTAAATTGGGAAAACTTGTTACCGTACCACTAAAGACATTTTCGAAATTGTATGGCAAAACCGGTGATTGTGAGAGACATGAGAACTCAGTATATCATACATCAGAAAGCAGTCTCAGATGCTACAAACTTTTTAAAGATTTACGAAAATCCAGAGAATGGTATAAGAAATATAATAGGTTCAGAGCGAATTAAGCAAGTATCAGAAAATCGGCAAAGATTGCCTCCTATAATAGAATCTACAATTTTTTTAGGACGCCAAAATATACCACTTAGAGGGCATAGAGATAGGGGACGACTTTTTTCTAATGACAGCACGAATGACGAGGATGTCCTTAATAATGAAGGGAATTTTAGAGAACTAATACCGTTTAGAGTCGAGAGCGGCGACAATTTAATGAAAAAAAAAATTAGAGAACTTAAAAGCGCATGCTACGTACATAAATCACAAATATCAATCGTATTGCGGTATTATTATCAAAAACATATTTACGAGAACATCATAGGATTTGTGGATTGCTACTCAAATTTTGATGAAGATACAATGGAGCCCAAACTCACAGGTCAAATTCTTGCTCAAACAGTCAAGCATTTCATTAAAACCAATAACTTAGACTAAAAACTATGTGTGGGCATTGGTACTGATACGAGTAACCTGATGTTAGGTGAACAAAAGAGCGCTGTAATGGAATTGCCAAATGCTCTAAAAAGCCCATGCACAAATCATGCCTTGAATCTTTCGATTTCAAAAAGCAGCAGTGTCCAAGCAGTAAGAAATACTGTAGGTATAATGAAGGAAGTAAGTGCGTTCTTCAAAGCATCCGCTACAAGAAATACAGTATTAAAAAGAAAACTAGACGGATATCAAATTCGTAAGGTTCGTACCACCATCGTCTATTTGCACCGTCACTTGAACCACCACGAAACTGTTGGTCTCCGACAGCGTGCGCATGCGTCAATTGTGGACGATACCGTGATCGTACGAATTAAATCTCTCGGTACAGTTGTTCGTCAATCAGCCTTCATCCTCATCCCTACCGCCTCGTGTACTGTGGTTCCGTGGCTCCCGTCACCATAGAAGTTAGTGATGGGTCCAACCCGCTATTTTGCTATAGCAGTTGCTACTGCTACTGCTAAATAGAAATAGCTGCTATTTTGATAGCAGTTGCTATTTGGTATTGAAAGTTTTGTTATGATTGATATAATTAATATTTAGCAGTCTTTTGGCCGCTCTACCAATAGAGGAGATCCATTTTTATTTTGCTTGGGTAACCAGGTTGACACTTAAAATCTGGTTTTGTACACATAAACATTCCGCCCGAAAATGCAAAGGTTACGAGTTTTGTTTTGAATAAGATAAAGACATCTTTTAGTTTCGTTTACTGCTATTGAAAGATTGCCATTGTAGGATTTTAGAGTTAGGAATATATTTTTGTATTGGGTATACTTTTGTTTCTGCTTATCTCAAACATAATAAATATATTTGTTTTTTCCAAAATTGCCTCCAACCAAAACAATCTAAGAAGAAACTGAAATAAAAATTAACAATATATTAATATTTTGTGGGATTTCGAATATGTAGACGGAGTCATTTGTTTGTTCAATATGATTTGCGCCATTTACGATTTGCTGTGGGCTGCAGAGGCTTATAAACCCCTTTTATAAACCCTTCTTCTTGCACCATCAGAGGACCTCGCAAAATATACCTCGCCTCGCCGAGCTTGGAGGAAAATGGAGACGTGGGTTGCAAGACAACACTCTCAGAAATGGAGAAGTATCTCCAGACATCTCCGCCAGGCACGGGAACTCATTGAAGGGCCCAGTGCTAAGGATGGACGTTTCTGCCTATCTCTGGATAGAGCCAACCTAAGGTTGCTGGTGGGACTGTTTTCTGGCCATAACACGTTAAGGCGCCACCTGCATGTGATGGGGGTAGCTGAGCATCCCTTGTGTGAACGCTGCGGGGTAGAGGAAGAGACCTCGGCGCACGTTTTGTGTCGCTGAGAAGCTCTGAGCTACTATAGGCAGACTATACTGGGGTCCATTACTTTGGACCCTCAGGACGTCAAGGAGCTTGGACTCGAGGCGATTCTCAACTTCGCTAAAAGGGCAAGGCTTGTGATCTAAGGAATGTAGAGGTACATAAGGGCCCGCTTAAGTGGCCTATGCACTGGCTCCTTATGGTGGCCGGAATGCCTCTAAAAAGATTCATTCATTCATGTACGATAATTTTGACATGTTTGTACGATAATTCCCTGCGACGAATCTGGCAACGCTGCATGTTTCCGCAAACGTTCGACGTGACGCAGCGCACGGTTTTAGTCAGTGTATATGTTTTGTGTACTGTTTATTGTTTAGCCACATAGCCCTTAAGTCTTTTAACTTTTTACAATAATTGATGTTTGTTTCGCTATAAACGTGTCCCAGAAACTTCGCCATGAAGACAGAAAATCAGAGCACCAATGATCCAGTATGGACAGGCCATGTAGAGCTTCTCTCTCAAGAAGTAGGTATTCGAGTTGCATATTTATTTTTACCAGGGATGTCTTTTAAGTTTTGCATATGGAAATAAAACAACACGAAGATTAATACACATCTGCATGCGCTCGAACCAATTTTCGAAGCACTTATTCCACTCGTTTGCTGGCAGATCACGGCATTTGTGAATGCGTCAACTGCTTCTTCTGGTGACTGGAACCTTTGACCACGAAGTCTGTTTTTAATTTTCGGGAAAGTAAAGAAATCGTTAGAACTTAGATCGGGACTATATGGAGGATGGTCCAATAATTCCACGTTTTCTTCAGTTAAATACTTCCTTGTTTTTTGGGCTCTGTGCGAGCTTGCATTGTCTTCATGGAGGATGATTCTTCTTTCAGGGTTGATTTTTCGAAGCTCGGTGATGACTTTTGGCAAACAAATGGTGGTATACCAATCCGCAGTAACAGTTCTTTGCTCATTAAGAGGAATTGTTGCAATATGACCCGCTTTTGACACAAATGTCGCGACCATCTTTTTCAAAACTCTTCGAGAACGGATGACTTTTGTTTGGCTTTTCTTGCTCTTCAGTCAACAGGTGGAGTATCCAACGAGAAACTAATTTTCTTACTCCTAATTCTTCATGTAAAATTTTTTGAATTGAGGTCTTTGAGACCTTCAAGGACGCCTCAATCTCGCGATATGTCACATGTATATCTTCAATGATGAATTTGCGCACAGCATCGACGTTTTCCTGGGTGACTGCCGTTTTTGGTGCACCCACCCTGGGATCGTCGCTAAGACTCACCCGTCCACGTTTGAATTCTCTATACCAACAGGAAATTGTCGACTGATGTGGCGCTTCGTTGCCAAAAACAGACAGTAACTCATCAAGGCATTCTTGTTGCGATAATTGTCTCTGAAAGTTGTATTATGGCGCGAAAATGTTCTCGGTTGAGTTCCATTTTTCCAATGACTTGATGACACTTAAAAATTAACTGTAGTGAGAACACTGCACATATTGTTGTGAAACTTTGAATTTAAGTTTACTAACGAATGAGGTTAAGATTCAGTACTGACGTTCGATCCGCGCGGCCTACTATGTTTCTATATGCAAAACTTAGAAGACATCCCTCGTAATGCATTCTTATTATTAATCTGTTGTAGGAATGTTTACCAGTAATAGGTACTTGCCAAGTAACTTCAATTCTACAGAATTTCGATACCTCTGATCCTCAAAATATGGATTTGATAATACTGCCTCCTACAGATTTGAAACTATCTCTAGTAGATAATGCTTATGATGCGTCAACGCCAAACAACTATGTCATTTTGAAAGACAACGGAACACCTACTAATACAACGAAGAAGATCAATAAAAGCAAAGCAATCAGAAAAAATGATAAATATGATGAAAATAAGAATGATAATTATGAAAACATGTTATATTTTGTTTGCAATTTATGTCCATTCCTCTGTACTAATGATGTGAAGATCAAAGAACATTTGGAAAATGCCCATAAAAACAAGGCTGTAATTAAGCTACCTAAACTAAAATGCCCTGCATGCCCAAATATTTTTTATCATAGAATGTCACTGCGATCACATCTAATTCATGACCATGGAGTTGGAAACTCAGATTTGAGTCAGATAATCCAAGCTGTATTATATTATTCTAGTAAACAAAAAGAAAATAAGCAGAAAACTAAACCTACGAAGGTCAAGCCAGCATCACCACAAGTTGAGAAACATCTTGTTCAATTAGATAGTATTGATGATCATGATAATAATGATTCCAGTGAGACTGTACAAAACGAAGAAAGAATATCTCTTCCTCAATTAGATATGGCCCAGAACAGCTCAGAAAAATTGATAAGCTGCTTGATGAAGCAGTCAGATCCAGTAACAAAATGCATTGATTCTAAGTCAAATAAATGCATAGTTATTGGTTGCAAACTTGGTTTCCAAAGTGTTGACAAGTTAAATTATCATTTACATTGTCACACAGAAGATGGATTTAAATGTCACACTTGTGGTGAAAACTTTCCACTATGGAGACCTCTGACATCACATTTATGGAGGATGCACAAAATTGACATGAATTTGTATGCATGTGATAAGTGTGATTATAAGACAGTCAGCCTTTCTAAGCTGAACAATATTCACAAACTTATACATGGTGAAGTCAAAGCATTTGGCTGCAATATCTGTAGTAAAACATTTAAAAACAGTAAACAATTAAGGAATCATAAAATTACTCATCAAGATAAAACTAAAAAATCCCAGCACATATGCCAAGAGTGTTCAAAACAATTTGCAGATAAAAGGCATTTGAGAATACATAATGATGTTGTACACAAAAGATTGAAACCATTCTTGTGTAATTTTTGTGGATATAAGGGACCTTCAAAGAGTTCATTGAAGATGCATATTAGGCAGCATACAGGTAATTATGTTTCAAGTTTGATAACAAGTTTACTCTCACACCAAGCATCTTATTGAAGTCATGTCACCAATAATACTGAAAATATGGTATAAAACAGCACAACCTACTTTCTTCAATAAACAGAAATTTGTAAATCATGATATGATATATGATATATATATATATATATATATATATATATATATATATATATATATATATAGGTGAAAAAATGAAGCTTCCGCCATTTGTTGGGTACTTAGACAAAATTCAAGCAAAGAGGACTCTTTATACTTTATTAATCTCTAGCTTTCAATGGACTTTGGCATCTTCCTCAGGAGCTGCAATAACATTGAGAAGAAATAGCAACTATTGTGCAAAATTATTATAAATTAACTTACAGTCGTATGTCGATTGTTGCTAAATGTTATTAACGTTTTGGTTGAGGGAAACACCGAGTAACCTGGTGAATGCTGGATACATGGTACATTCGTCAAAATTAATATAAACTACACACAGCTGTATGTCAGGAACAAATTAAAATGGATTAAAATATTTAAATCGAAAGTTAAAATTACATCTTGAGCCACCTGATGTGCACAATAGTTGCTATTTCTTCTCAATGTTATTGCAGCTCCTGAGGAAGATGGCAAAGTCCATTGAAAGCTAGAGATTAATAAAGTATAAAGAGTCCTCTTTGCTTGAATTTTGTCGAAGTACCCAACAAAAGGCGGAAGCTTTATATATTTTTTTCACCTAAACGTATCAAGTTATATATATACATATATATATATATATATATATATATATATATATATATATATATATATATATATATATATATATATATATATATATATATATATATATATATAACATTCCAGAGTCAAAAATACATAAAGTGAGTGGGCAAAGTTGTACTATTTAGAAACAACTTTGCCTAGCTATGGGGGTGGGGGTATTAAAAAAACTGTATGCAGTAATTCTATATATTTGCTTAAATTCTTTAAACTTGGTAAGTTACAAAGTAGAAACTGCCAAAGATGAATTATAACTGATGATGTTCACTTTGCTGGGCAAAGTAGAATAAGTTTACAGTACAGAACAGTCAATATATTAAAAAAAATATGTAGCTGATACCACAGCCGTGCCCATAGCGTAGAAATTGTGAATTTTTGACCACTACAGAAGAAAAAAGAAAAATATTTCCTAAGCTACTGACAATCTTACGCATTTTTGAATAAGGTTTCTCAGTTTTACTTGAGAAAGTTACTTTTGGATGTATTTCTACCGAATCATCCTGTATATGTTTTTCTATTTATCCTAGTAGGTTTTAATTTAAATTTTGAATTTTTTTATACTTGGGATATCATCCTTTTTGTTACCGCATTTTAAAAGTGCAACTTATTTAGCAACCTTCTTGTAAACTATGATTATCTGAAGTTTATCTAAACATCTTTATGCTCATCGGCAGTTGAATAATCAACAAAATTCATTATACATTATTTTTAGGTGAAAAGCCATTTGAATGTGATGTCTGTTCTTATACTACATCAGATCACAATTCCCTTAGAAGACACAAGTTTAGGCATACAGGCCATAAACCTTACAAATGTTCCTATTGTTCATATGCATGTATCCAGAGTAGCACCTATAAGACACACCTGAAGACAAAACACCCAGGACTGGAGAATGATCATCTGTTCATCTGTGCTAAATGTCAATTCAGGACTGTCAGTAAGGATATTCACATGTCTCATATGGTGACTGTACATAAGATGAAATCACAGAATGCATTGAAAGTTGGTTGAAAAAAATGGGTGAGGTACAGTTTATTAATAACAGATGTTTCAGTACATACATGTAAGGTACACTAATCTTATATGTGTCTAAGGTACAAAACAAAAATACACCTATAACAATTGTAATTTTCTTTTAATTAGGAAGTGGCAGGAATGATTAACAAAAAATATATTTGGACTGATGTGACTGCAATGTTTTTGTGATATTTTTAAATTGTGAATAATTATATTTAGATGTTATCAATATAAAGTTTGTTTTATTACTAGTTTTTGCAAATATCGTTGAACAGTGAATCAACAAATAGCAATAACGAGTGATACAGGAAGTTGAGATTATGGGTGGCCAAAGGAATTTTTCTCAGAGGGGATCATCAGCAAGACATTTGTGAAAGTGAAAGAAACTTTCTGAAGGGCAAAAGTCTATCTGCTCCCAACTTGTTGTAGAGCTGGGGTAGCAAATTTTCCCATGGGGTACCAAATCTTGGAAATTCCCAAAATTGTACACAAGAGCCGCAGAAAATCCAGGTCATCATTATTATTTACATAAGCGAAACCGATTCAGAGTGCGATTTTGGGCATGTCTTGTTTTAAATCTATTATAAGAAAATATGTTAAATATTATATTTAAAAATTCTGGTATTCACAGACAAATTTATTCTTCCCAATAACTTGGGAGAATACAATATATAATTTAATGTAAAAAGAAAGCACATACACATTTTTCTATCTTCAAGCAAAAACAGTCTGGTCACTCTCCTCATGGACTCAATCTCTAGATGTTAGTTGAGCTGCCCCATTCTATAACGTAGATACCTTAAAAACTTGTAATGCGTTTTTTGTGAATCTCGTAATAATGGTCTTACTAATGAGTTAGGTTTGTTTTATTAAATTGAATCTATATAATTTTTGCAGTTTTTCAAGGAGGATAGAAATGTACGCTGTTGCGCAAAGAGCCGTAGCACAAAAAAAGAGTATGATGCCCACTAAAGTTTATCAAAATATTGTGGCGACTGTTGAAAAGTGCGAGCTTTCTTATGATATGATGGTGTAGAGATTTTAAGTGTGGACGGCCATCTTGTGAAAGCCGAAATGGCGGTGGGCCTCATGTAACGGTATCAACTGACCAAAACATTGAAAAAGCGCTTTTCAGACGGAAATTGTTTACATAGGAATCAGTGCAGCAAATGCTTTTAATGATTTAATGAACTATTAAAATATGAAAATGTCCTCTTCAAAAATATCAATGTCGAATAAACCTCTTCTCGCACTTAGTCTCTCTATACATTTATTGACCCCAGTCTTAACATTTTGCATGACCTGTAGAGAAAAAATGTATATGCAAAAGTTGTTTGACATAACAGTTTTTTTCTGGCAACATCTATTTAGAAAACTGCTATTGAATAAAGTTTTACTTTTTAAATGGAACAACCTGTATATTTTTCGTCAAAATAATACACACTTTTTTTCTGATTCTAAATATATATGATTATTATGCTTATTTTCATTACCTTAGTCAAAAACCTAAATTATATGTGTAGTTTAATTACAAGTACATATACCTTATACCAGATTACATAGGTGGATGGATCAAGCTGATTTAAACTCTGATCCAGTGGGGTCCGGGCTCACCAGCCCCCCGAAATATTAGAGTTTAAAAAATTTTGAACGTGTTCTTCAATTTCCAGACGACCCTCCTCCGCTCTTCAATCTTCATTTGTTGATACCCCTCCCCACAATTCAGTGTTGTTGTTCTAAATAAACACAATTTTAGTTTTTGACTTAACGAATTAAAATAAGTAGCCATATACGAGTATACCTATTTGGAATCAGAAAAAAGCGACAAACATTTTACACTAAAAATATACTGGATGTGTTATTCCTCTTTTCTGAGACATCCTGTATATAAAATAGACATTGCATGAACAAGTTTATATTAGACCTTCCAACTTTTCTATATGACTTTTCTCTCTAAAAAAAGTAGAACCAATTTATTTTATTTTATTCATTACAACACCCTACAGTGAATACCAATTACAGGGTGAGGAACATAACATAGATACAAAAGACAATAATAAGCAATAGACTACAAAGTGTAAAAGATACATGATGCCTACTTAATGGTATTTTTTATGTCTGCAATTCTGCAGTTAAATATATTAATCCGGTTGCTTGCAGAATTGTAATTCCTACACATCACATGCAAAGGGGAATAATGTAAATAATTTGTCCGTACCGCAGGTAGATAAAACGTAACGTTTTGTCGGGATGTCAGCCTAGGTACGTTAAATGATAACTGACCCAAGAAAACTAAATCATCACTAGCATTATTGATCAATTTAAACAGAAACATCTCTGACTGGCAAGTGCGCTTTGCTTCAAGACTGCTGATTAGATGTTTTTCAAGTAAGGAATCATGAGGTATACCTATGGGCGGGTAAACGCCAATCCACTTTCAGTGACAAATATTTTAAGAAACGTCTTTGAACGCATTCAAGCCTACTTATATGAATAATATGATGCGGATTCCAAATTAGCAATGCATACTCAAGCTTTGACCTAACATATGCATAATACAGCAACTTCAAGGTGATACTCTGAGTGAAGTCACGGCAGTTTCTTACAATAAAGCCGTACATGGCCTCAAAAATTTTGCTGTCAATGTGTTTGACGAATGTTAGTTGGGAGTCAAATATTACGCCAAAGTCACATAAAGTTGAAGTCCTCTGAATAGAGGTACCTGACACGGTATAGTCAAATAATAGAGGATTTTACTTCAAAGTGTAAGACATTACGTAACATTTATTGATGTTTAATGGTAGATTGTTTTGTGAGCACCAATCATCCAACCGAACAAGATTTTTTAAATGTTGATCACAGCCTGATTCATTAACTACACAACAAAACATCTTCAGATTATCAGCGTAAAGTAAACAATTCTCGCCAACAGCATTAACTATGTCATTCACAAATATGACGAACAATAAAGGCACTAGGTTACTGCCTTGTGGCACTCCGTAATTGGCTACATACTCCGACTATCTGCCATTAAACCTCACAAATTGATTTCTTCCAGTGAGGTATGACTTAAATAGTTGTATTGAAGACTCGGATTCTCCATGAGGCTTCAGCTTATGCAATAGCATCCTGTGATCAACTCTGTCGAAAGCCTTGGAGAAGTCTGTGTAGATGACATCTGTTTGTAATCATCTGTCAATATTTTCTGGTATGGTCTGTGTGAAGTTCATCAGATTTGATACTGTTGAGCGCCCTTTCATGAAACCATGTTGTTGAACACATATTTTTCTGCTGACATGATGATATAGTCTGTTATATATTAATATCTCTAGAACTCTTGAAAAATTGCTCAATATTGATATAGGTCTAAAATTTGATACATCATTCCTACTGCCGTTTTTGTGTATTGGACATACTTTAGACAACTTCCATAATTCTGGAATTGTGCAAGTGGTAAGACACAAGTTGAATAAAACGGTCAAAGGACACGCCAACACAGAGGCACAGTCACGCAAAATCAAAGCTACATTATCCGGTCCGGTAGTCATCTTAAGTTTTATTTGCTTCAAGGCTAAGACAACTTCATCCTCCTCAAATCTAGTAATATCGAGTAGTAGTTCATTGCTCATTAAAAAGTCATCAGTTTCTTCGGTGGTTGATGGTGGCCCCTTTATAAGGGGGGGGGGAGATTCGAAGCGACCGTTCTCACCGAAAGCAACTTCGAACTCAGCCCAGTGGCAACTCGACAACAATCCATATAGGCACACTGCCATCGCTAGTCGGATTGGAGTTTCCCACCAGTTGACGAAAGATGTCATCGCAGCGGATGTCAAATACCAAGCCGTGAACAGATAAATCTGGAAACGCAGGTGGTAGTGTTACTCCCGCTGAAGTACAGAGAAAAACGTAACCTTTGCAGTTTGTGATTTATTTTCTAAACTTCAAAGTACGTAATGTGTTCCGTGACTATTATGAAAAATTAGACTTTATCAAACTTTACAGATGTAGTGCTTAAAAAAAAAAATAAGTCAACAAGTGAGGGTGACTGTGGCTGTCGGCGGCTCAGGACGTTAAGGATTTGAACTATTGAAAACGTGCGAATTAGTTTGTATTTTCCAAAATTGCGGTTCTCGAACATCACACGCAGCACATCACAAGTAGCAGTACCATCTCGCCCGAGCGCGGTGTTGCCTTTCTTTCATCACTGCTCGTAGTTGACGTCGGCTGTGATGTCATCTATGGATGCCATTGTGACACTTCGGCTAACATTCCGATCGTATCATTAAAAAATTAATAATAATCGGTTAAAGGGACTCCTCCAACGCGTTTTCATGTTCTTTGAAATGATTCAGTTGAAACAGCAGTGTTGAAAATCTTCCAGAAGAGCTATGGTTGATACAAAAAGTGTGACAACCAAGTGGATAGTATACGAGTGATCATCGGACTCAAAAGATATTAGGAATTACTTTTCGCAGAAGAACGATTGCACATATGTTATTTATTGAGTTATTGATAAATAAAAAATACCACAAATGTTGATTGATTGATCAGGCTAGATTTTATTTGTGAATTACCTTACTTACACGATTTTCTTTCAGCCAAGGTTTTTAAGAATAAATGCAGTCTATCCATATTCCGCATTCTCACTAGTAAATACACACTTACCTCAAAACGAGGCTGCTATTTTCTAAGCAGTTGCTTTCGGTGAGAACACAAAAGCAGCACAACTGAACTAGAAATCGGGTTGAGGTCGAATCGCCTTCGGTGAGAACAGTGCATATTTTAAAAATTCACCTTTCAACTAGGTTTCATCAATACATCTGACATAAATTGCTATGTAGTCTTTTGTGTTTTTCACTTCTTGAGATTCAAACAATCTCCATGTCTCATCTTCAAATTGGACATTGAATGGAGCTGGATCTGTGTGATGGCCTTTACCTTCGCCAGGTCCAATTATAATGACTACTCTGCCATTGTAAACTCTGAGGTAATCGCGAAACGCTTGGCCGCTGTTGAAGTAGCAAAACACCAATGCGTACTCAGGATCCAGTGTGGTTTCATCAGGAGGTTGTTTACTATATTTCAGGTTTATGAAGGTAGGAGGGGAATATTTGCTTTCCCACCATTCACGGTTCACCTCGTATCCCAGAAGTGGCAAACCTACACAATATTATGCAAACATTTTAGAATCTCAACCTACAGGCTTCAAATAAATTATAATATATATTTTATTTAACGATAATTAAAATGAATTTGCCCTGAAAATTAGCTATTAATTATCAGAAAAATCGTATACAGGTTACTGTCCTCGCAGGGTGATACCGTGGTAAGTGCCCATGAGGCAGCGTGGTGCAACGAGAAAAGCCAGATAGGTCAATTTTGTAGCTTGAAATTACAAGGGAACAGTGGCGCAAGCAGGATTGAATTTGCCTCTACAGTCGATCCTGAAAGTTGGCTGGTAGCTCGTGCTGTAGACTAATTGGTTAGGTCGGCTGTACGGAATTTAAATCCCACCGACGCCCATTTTATCCTTAATTTCTGTCAAGATGTAGTTTACTAAACAAAATCGTATACAGATCTCTTAAATGTCGGTCACATATTATACAGTGTGTTACTTAATGATAGACCGTAATTGTAAGTGCTCATTCCTTGCTGGAACCGCACGCTTGCCATTTGCCGCAAACTCAAAACCCCTACAAACGCTTGCCTTTTTTTAAAGAAGCAAACATCGCTGTCCACACGTTTGCGGGTGCCACACTGAAAAGGCAACAGGCTGACATGACGGACGTCGAACTTGTGTCTGCCGTAGCATTTGGCTTAAGCTATTTTTATTATAAAACCAAAAAAAAAGTCAGATAGGGAGGGGAGGGGGAGGGAGGCAGTCTCACGAATAATGTTGACAAAAAATGTTCGCTGTTGTCTCGTAGTATCTTCATTACGTGGCGAAACATTGTCAAAATATGAGCGCCGAAGCCAGCATAGAAGCGGAAGGTGGTCGTCTCCAACAATTTTTGTAAATATTTTGTCAAATTATTGCTTCTTCTTATTCCTTACATTTTAAAATGGCTTATAAATAGTGTTGTGTATTACTAAAAAAAGAAATCTTCTATATACTTAGGTCGCAAATTTTATCATAACTTGCCAAAATATATTCGAAAAAACCGATGAAAGATATTTCGTTATTAAAAACAGTTCTCCGGTTAAAGTTTGTTCGATGAATAGAGGCCCCACAATATGATTTCCCAATATCCCAGCCCAAACGTTAATTTTTTGTGGATAATGAGTATGAGTTTCCCGGAAGACGTGAGGATTGGTGTCACTCCAATAACGACAATTTTGTCTATGCACATTACCGTTGCGAGAAAATGTACATTCATCACTAAAACAAATATTTTGGATATAGGTAGGATGCCAGAATTCTGTTCTTTGATCAGGGTCATCTTCAGTTAGCTGATGTACCATTTGAATTTTGTATGGGTGATACTTATTCTTTTTCAAAAGTCTCCATACAGTAGAAGGACAAACCTCACATACATTTGCGATGGAGGAAGTAGACTGTTGGGGATTTACTATGATCCCACCAATTATTTGAACTTGCTTTTCTTCCGGGATGGTCGGATGACCTGGGTTTTTTTTGTTGTTTACACTACCACAAGCTGTAAATTTAGATACAAGTTCCCTTAAATATTTTCTAGAGATAAGACGATTCGAGAAACGATCATTAAAAATCCGTTCGGTCTCGTGAAAGTTTGGCGTCGCACCATAAATAAAAATTGCTTCGATTTTTTCTTCCAACGGACGAGAATTGACCAATTTAAAAATAGTTCAAACTTCAAACAGTACGTTATGTAGCACTAAAACCGAAAACTGAATAAGAATATTTTAACTGAACAATGATGTTTGCTGTCGTACTGATATTCTTGTCACTGTCAACAAAAAAATAGCAAAACAAGTTTTTATCGCTGTTGCTGTGGATACGGCAGTTAATTACAATTATTTGTAGAGATATGCATGTTAGTGGGTTTGTGTTCAAGTAATTATTAAATGTACCACCATTTTGTAGTAGGTAAAGGTATTGACTTTATATTCCAGGGTTATAAAGTACCCGTCAGGAGCTTCAAAATGATGTGCCACAAGTCCCCCGTTTTCATATATTTTTTTCCAAGATGTCGCCCAGCGGCCATCTTGACATTTTCATCTGTCAATTTTACTCTAAAATATACTATCCACGCATCAATTTCATTACCTCAAACTTTAATTTTTTGAATTGATCTGTTCAGAAAATCAAAGGGAAGGGGGACATTAAAGAAAAACACTGTATAGGTTTTTTACGTAATAACCGAGATTGCCTTTTCAAAACATTGAAAGTATGAGTAAGAGGAAATGGCATTTTTCTCTGCGGTGGGAATAGTAACCACAAGAAACGAGCGTTACAACTTACCAGTTGATTTTTCAATGATCCATTCTAAAAGTCCGCATCCACATCCAATAGAAATAATACCAACACAATTCAAGTTACTGACAGTATCTTTAATAAACCTTAGGTTATCTTCACTGGGCCATACCCATAATAGGTTGCGAGCTTCAATTTTATCAGATTCATCATTCAGCTTCAGTACTCCTTTCCAGTTTTCTTCTTTCGTTAACTCTAGCACTTCATATAGAAATTCGCCATCCATTTTTTACAAACTATATTTAAACGCAAATGATGTCTAATTTATGTCAATCGAATTGTACATACGAGCAAACGATTTTTATTTTTAAAATTGAAACAGAACCTAATTTGTTCTATTTTTACACCTACAAATCAAACGCGTTGAGTTGTTTTTTTATATCTGGCAAATGGTTCGTACGTTGTCACTTATCAAGATTTGGCAAGGAATAATCATATCCAACAATAGATTAGGTGGTGAAGTACAATAAAAAAAACAGCATCAAGTAGAACACGTCAACACTGCCTAAGCATTTTTGAGATACGCTAACAGGAATTAAAAGGATTGACGAATCGTTCAGAAATACTTATCGCATATTATAACCAATTCGACTTGGAGAACAAATACATACCGAGGAAGTCCGCATACAAGGACGTACCCGGGGGGACAGCTGCCCCCCTTTAGAGAGGAGAGCTCATTTTTTACAAAAATTAAATTATTCATGTACAGGGTTCTCCACAAGCTGAATCAATATCTATTAGATGAGAAATCACTAGGATGAGTTGAAATCTATGTTAGATATGAACTTAATTTTGCTATAAGCACTATAATATACGAGTAGATGTTACGTGTGTTTCAATTCCGAACCTCGCCTTTGGGATCTCGGAAACGGTAAAGCAAATGCAACAAGATCAGCATTTACTGTGATACGTACCATCAGTGGATTTCTGCGTAACATTATGCATCAATAATTACAGTAATGGACAAAAGTATATAGACAAATATGAATATTTACGTAAACACCTTTAGAAAACGAATTCGTACTTCATTGCTCCATAAACAAATGCGTTATTAGTAGAAAAACTGAATTCCTTGTTTTTACATTATCTGCAATGAACACAATACAAGTCTGGAAATAAGCACGTTTTTATGAGGGACAAAAATATGCAGAGAAATTCTATTCAACATTAGTTTAGTACAGTATTGTGGAACAAGTTGAGTGATTTTAAGATCATGCCGCATGGTCCAGAAATTTCTTTCGATGTGAAAACTAAGATCATTGAGTTATACAAAGATGGTCAACATCAAGTCGACATTGCCAAAAATTTTAAGCCGCAGCGTAAAGCAGTTTGGGCAATAATGAACAAATATAAACAAAAAGGTATCTTGGAAGCCTCTAAGAGAAGTGGTCGGCTTAGAAAACTAAATGCTAGATCAGTTAAATTAATAAAAGTAATTTCGTCCAAAGATGCGTTTAAAACCATAAGACAAATAAAAGCCGAAATCGAGACAAAAGGAATTGTCAGTGTATCTATGAACACTATAAGTAGAAGTTAAATGATTTGAAGTTATTTGCGCGTCGCCCTTGTAAGAAGCCGCTAATCTCGAGGAAAAACCGTAAGGACCGATTACAATTTGTACGGTTGCATCTTGATTGGAGCATCTGTGACTCTAAGACGGTATGTTTCAGTGACGAATCAAAGTTCAATATGTTTGGATTAGATGCTGTTCATTACGTTAGACGTTCTAGTGGACAAAGATTGAACCCCAAATACACTTTGCCCACTGTCAAACATGGAGGCGGGTCTGTTATGGTTTGGGGGTGCTTTTCGGGGTTTGGGATGGGGCCTTTACATAGAATAGATGGCATTATGAATAAGTTTGTATACACAGACATACTAAAGCATGTCATGTTACCCTATATGGAAGACAATATGCCCTTAAGATCAATCTTCCACCAAGATAATGACCCGAAGCACACTTCAAATCTCCCAAAGAAATTCTTTCTGGATGAAAAAATAGCAGTTCTCAAATGGTCTTCACTGTCTTCCGATATAAACCCCATTGAAAATCTATGGGAATACTTAGATATCAAGAAACTTCTACAATTTATGCCGAGACGATGCCAGGCGGTGATTGATAATAATGGTTAAAATATTAACCCAAACATGGTTGGTTTTCTATAATTCAATGAACTTTGCTTCTTTTTTCTATAATTGTTTTGCTTTGTCTATATATTTTTGTCCTTCATAGTTCCAGTTTTTTTCAATTAATTTTTTATTGAATGAATTTATTTATGTGTAAGTGAGTATTATGCTATAACAAATTATGTATACAGGTTGGTGTATTAATAAAAGAAGTTAACCCTTTCGTCCCTGAATTCAAATACCTTAGTCCAAATAATAAATAGTGTAAAATATTATTGTTAGGATGTCTTACAATGAGTTTTTATTAATATATATTTTTTCATTGGTCAGGTAACGGTGGAGGGGGTGGTTCATATATGTACCAGCAGGTATTTATGGTGGTACACATGCGTACCAACAGGTATGATCGGAAAATTCATAAAAACAGAAAAAACAATGGTATAATAATATTTATTTAGAAAAAAATACAAAAACAGCTTTGCAAAGAAGAAAATGAACCTAAATAACTGTTTGGTATGATACAACATAAAACAGAACTTGCACAATGGAATATTGCACTCCTCGCAAAGAGTTTTGTTCTTGTTTGTTTTTTCTCTTCAGAACATCTAGTGGATCTTCTTCTTGTTGATCCCTCCACAGGAAATGCTGCATGTAATGCTGATGCACCATATAATTTTCTTTTTCTTGAAGGGGCGCCTTGTTTTGGTAATGGTAGGATTGTATTTTGTATACCTTCAGATATTAATTCTTCTGCAAGTGTGGTGAGGAAAGAAAGAAAAGAAATATTCTCATTTTTAAGTCTCATTTCACCTTTTTCCACCACTTTGCTGATTTTCGGTCATGATCACATAGCCCAATGAATTGATCTGCCCGATCAACCCCTTGCATTTTTTTCTGTAAAAAGATATGGCCTCTGGACATTGGATATTTTGTTGTTCACCGGCTTTGCTTTTTTTGATAACTGTTGTCAAATTGGGCTTATGACAGTTACTCATCAGCAAAACTTCCATTGTGTCCTGCCACTTTACATAAAGTAATCCCGAAGAAGTGCATCTGACTTGAGATTCCCCTTTTTGCAGCTTGTCTCCCATAGTTGGTACATTCTTGCGATTGGACGTTCCCAAGGCTGCATAGTCTAGTGTAAGTAACAAATTCACACTTAGCCCGAATCTGCATCGCAGCGAAGCCATGTTTTATGCCCCTCTTGGTCGGTTTGAGGGGCATATATTGTTTCAAAGAAGATGGACCCTTGAATTTGGTCACAGATTCGTCAATACTTTGATACTGGCTATCCTGGAAATACTTTGTAAACGTGTATTTGAAACAAGATAACAAATCTTCAATATAATATGTTTTTGAAGCATTTGGGGGTTTCTGAGGAGAAGCAAAGTACATTTTTGAGCTCAAAGTCATGTATTGATCTCTTGAAAAAGTGTTTTGAATTGTGCTATTTCCCATTGACTCCTTTTTACTCCAATAATTTTTCAGGCTTGGAAGGCGATTGTAGCACATAATGAACATGCAGCCAATTAACTTCTGTATTTCTCCTTTGTCAGTCGTGTTCTCATTCCTCGTTTTTAATTGGTTTATGATTTTTAGGCGTTCATTTGTACAATTTGCAATGTGCAAATAAAGAGAATGAGGAAATACTTTATGAAAAATCTGCATAGGTGTCAACTGCTTGGTGATATCTGGAGCCAGCTTACATTCTCTTTCAGGAGGAAGGATTTTAGCAGGCTCAATTGTTTCATCAGGAATGACCCAGTCAAGAACTTGGTTTCTACCAACAATTACCTGTGGTGAAGGCGCAAAATGGATGCCTGAGTTAGACATATTATACGTATCACTGCCTGCTTCTTCATCGGAATCTGGTTCATAATTGTCACTGGAGTCAGCGGAAAATGGTTCCGAATCTGAGATTTCTTCAATATCTTCAATAAGCGCTTCCAGCTATTTTTGTGCAAGCGGATGGCGGCGATCCATATTGAAGCTGAAACTGAATAAACGTAATTAGAGACCTGTTGGTATACATGTGTACCACCATAAATACCGGATGGTACATATACAGGGTGACTTCGAAGTTGAGTCATTTATTTTAACATTGAGTAGATCTGATCAAAAGAAATGTTTTTTTCCTTTACCATTTTTCTGGTAAAATTAAAGTAACAAAGTTATAGCCCTTTGGAAGTTTGAGTACCGCCCTGTCTCAATAATATCATGTGCTCGTGTTTGGCGACAACGGATATAATCCGCCTTATCGGTTCATCGCATCGGAAACAAAAAAGCGAAGGAATTTGGAACGATGTTTTTACAATTATGTTATTCAGTTCAGTTATACATACAGTCAGTGTCAGTCGCGTGTGAATAGTGTCTGTTGCGTGGCTCAAACGAAATAAAAAATGGCACATGTTTATGCGGATCGGTTTCCCAATCGAGTGCAACCAACCCCTCTTGCCTTTGTTAATGTAGTACAACGGGCTCGTGAATCAGGTGACTTAAGACCTCACAGGGGACCTCACGATCAAATACAGGTCCGCACTGAAATACTTGTCGGGAGGATACTTTAAAAAACAAGGTAATTTTTTTTTTATTTTTACACACATATTTTGGTTTATCTTCCTTCTACAATAATTATCTGAAAATTAATGACTCAACTTCAAAGTCACCCTGTATGTACCACATGAATATTACACGCAAAAACACAAAAATAAAACATAGTTTTGACCTAGCTTTGTAAAAACACTAATTACAGTTGAATAGCAAATAGAACTTCATCAAAAAACTGCATAAATAAGCACTTTGAGTGTCCTAAATAACTAATTTTATTAGAGCAATACTGCCGCTACTACATACACGTGCTAACTAAATCGACATAATCACAAAATGCATGTTGTAGGTACACTGCGGAAGCCTGATACACCGGACCGGTAAAGATTTATACCAAATAAAATGCTTCATTTCACAAGCAGGGATTTTTAAATTTGCCTGGTACATATGGGTACCGTTCGGGACGAAAGGGTTAAAAAAGAAATACAGCACAATATTAATTTGTCTATATAATTTTGTCCATCACTGTACGTACAGGCTACACGGTCAATAAATATCACATTTCATACGTCGCGGAGTACTTTTTAGTGGCAACTTGTGAAGGTAAATAAAAAAATGGAACTTGTGGACATTTTGGGGATTCGAAGTATTTCCGAATTTACTCGAAGTTTTTATTTTTTACTGGCTTT